CGAAAATCTCGGGACGCAATGTCAAGTATGTTGAAGACAAAACCTTTTCTGCTCAGGACTTCGACACAGTTTGTCCCCCCCACCGGTCCAGTTTGATCTCCGACACTTTCCACTGCTCTCCAACCCCACAATCATTAAAGCACCTTCGAGCATTCACAGATGGTCGGGCTTCAGTGAATGGTAAAAATGGTCAACCCTCAAATGTTTGCCGGCTTTCTAAACCAGCTCTCCAGATGGTCGTTGGAACTGGGGCTAAAAAGATTGTTGAGAAGAAATGAGGGGGGGGGAATGTTTCTGACTCTCCTCGACTACCATCTCTCAAACTATCACCAGCTAAGTGTGTCTGCGTTTGACAAATGCTATTAAATATGTAATCACCCATGACACATACACGCCCGATCATTGAGTGAGGGAGAGTAACGACTGACCAAATCTAGACGCGATTTCATTCGGCTCTCAATTTTATTCTGATTGTTTGCATGCACGACCGTTACGCTACACCATTTAAGATCAGAGTGAATTATCTGCCTTCCAGTGTCCGGGCGTTATATTTTTGACCCAGAATCAACAGCATTTTTGTACTCGTTTTCGACTTATGACCAGAGTATAGTATCTGTTCAATTCCCAGTCTTTCAGAAAATAAAATCTCCATCTTTTTACTCGTCTGTTGATAGTAATAGTAATATTAGCCGTTTCCTTATAAGGAAACATTCAACATACATTCTTCGAGTAGATGAAAGTTCGGTTGAATTTTATAGAGTCTTTCTCTTAAAACAATTTTTCGGGAAAATAGATTACACATGTCCAGTAATTGTTATAGCTCTTTCAAGTACTGATGGCGACTTCCTTACTATAATTGTATTCAAGGTAGTGTGGAATGTAAGCATCTTGATTCTGCCATTATTTTCTCTACGAGTTACATGTGTCGTTCATTTTAGTTTGGAAACATTCGACATTCATTGTTTTCTGGAAAGTGTTTATATATATATATATATATATATATATATATTTATATATATGTGTGTGTGTGTGTAATTAGGCAGCAATCCTTCTTTCATGCACATTTCATTGACAACGACAGACAAGGTGCTAGTTTTTTATACAATTTCTCATGCAATCTATTTTTTTTTCTTTTCGGATGATAAATTAGATAAAAACTGTCCGAATGTTCTTTTTATCCGAGCGCTTTCGGCTATACATTTAGCCATTTTCAAGGATTATATTTTAAATGTTAATGTTGTGTCCATGTTCAAAGTTAATATTATTAAGTGTTGGTTTGTTTGTTTTTATATGTTGGTTTGTTTTATATATATATATATATATATATATAGCCTTGGATGGCAACTGGTCTAGGAGAAGATCAACTTTAAATTCAAAACCTGCAGATGATCATTTGTATTCAGCCCTTCAAAAAGTGTGGTTGGTTCTGCACAAAGTCTTCACCACTATAATCAAATCATAACACTCATACGTTGAATACAACAGGAGAGACCACCATAAAGCACACACATATAAAGATGTACAAATATATATATATATATCTAAACACACACGCACACACACACACACACACATATATATATATGTATATATATACACACACATATAGATGTAAAAATATATATATCTAAACACACACACATATATACATATACACACACTCATATATATATATATACACACTCATATATATATATATATATATATATATATGCATATACACCGATACACACACACATATACATATATAAACACATATATATATATATATATATATATATATATATATATATATATATATATATATATATACAACACATATATTCACATATATACATATATAAACACATACATATAACACATATAAATACACATAAAAACACACATACACACACACACATATATATATATATATATATATATATATATATATATATATATATATATATATATACAAGTAGACACACATATATATAGATATACATGTACCGTGCAGTAATGGATAGTGGCTCGGATTGAGGAATCGGAGAGCCAAGTTCAAATTCCAGTCAAATGCATTACATTCACTTACGTGCTAATACCCTTAGGGGAGGTATTAATCATCTTCTTCTCTCTCCAGACTGGATTCTATAGCCTTGGATGGCAACTGGTCTAGGAGAAGGACAAGTCAGAATTCAAAACCTGCAGAAGGTCATTTGGGACCTTGTGGCACGTAATGCATCAGGTCTCTGGCCCTTCAAAAAGTCTGGTTGATTCTGCACAAAGTTTTCACTACTATAATCAAATCATATGTGCTGGTGTCTGGCTGTTTGTTGGTTCCTAGGAACTGAACTGCTTGACCCTCATACGTCTAATATGACAGGAGAGTCCGCCATATATAATTATTATTATCATTATATTTTTATTATAAGAGATTTTAATAAAGACATTTTGAAATCGCTACACAAAGGCTTTCACGCTTCAATACTTTGATTGTACTTCTTCAGGGGATGGTAAGTAACTGGTGATTAAATGATTTTTAAGCTTTGTTCACATTGTTGACCACGCTAGATAACACGCTCCCTCCCAGAAACCGTAACTAATTATCTACTCAACATAGTTGGGCTCTGTGGGCGTTGAACAAACACACATGTATCTGAGCGAACGTCTGTATTAGGGATTGGCTAGCCGCTTTAGTAGACAGGTATCCTCTCCTCAAATACGAGTGGCCACTATAACACAACTATACTTAACCATGGAAACAATAAACAAAAACTAAAAATTCTTGAAGCTATATGCATAAAACAATTGAAACCTAACCTAAACAAAATAAACTACAAAATCTCCACAAATTAAATACTTATAATTGATAACAGAAGCCATCGGTGTATACCAACGGCTTCCCATACTTAATACATCTCGTTTTCACACACGCGTGGTCATGTGTGACGTCCGAGCTGCAATGCGATTTTCGCATCCGCGTCTCGTATACACGACTTTGTCGTTGCTTTGAAATTTTTCATGCAACAAAACAGACTATCATTATTGTTTTGTCCGTGTATTGATGGATATATTGAAAAGTAATTGTCATCTTTGATGATGGCATATGTAAGCTGAAAGCTTAAATTGGATTTAAACATGTATCAATATGGTGATTTCCTTTCGTCTTTCAATGATAATGTTATTAAGCTTATCAGACAATATGAAAAGAACTTACTTAAAATAAATAGACAAAACTTGCCTATATTATTTAATGAAACATGCACCAATGAAAAACTGCAGCCTAAATACACACAATTTATATATATATATATATATATATATATATATATATATATATATATATATATATATATGATTAATAATGATAAAATTTGGATATAAATCCAGGGAAAGCTCCTTGTCAAACGCAGAGCATATTATGGATCTTTTTCTACTTCACTGTGGCCATCTCAATAATTAGGTCAACATGTCTACACCTCAGTATATCTGTTTTAACAAGTTTGTGCCTTCCTCTCCATGACTTCATATCCTTTTATGCTCAACTCTTTATTTTCTCACTATCGTTTCCTCATCTTGTTCTGACATCCGTTTACACAAGTCCCTTGGTTTTGTTAATTACTGTTTCCGAGTGCCATCAAGAATTCGATATGTTCTGTGAGTGTAAATTTCTCCAAGCACTCTCTTCTCATTCTATGTCACAGAAATTCCGTGTTTCTTTATGATTCTAAGTATAAAAAATAATCTTTTTTTCATTTTTCCATTCTCAGCATCCTTCTGTAGAGCCACATTTATTTACCGCCATACAACGTCACAAACCTTGGTAATCGAGTGGAGGATTTCAACAGGATAGAGCCATCACTCACACAGTGAGACTAATGCAAGGGGGCTGTTTCCAGGGAATTTAATCTCCCTGGATGATTTGCACGCTCATCTGGGTCCCCCCCCGCTATGTGATTATATTTTTTGGGGTCAGCTGAAAGTTGATGGCAGCAAATATTGATAATACGCAAGCAATGCTACCGAAGAGCAATAGAAAACAAGCTTTTCTCGCAATGAGATTGAATGACTGATTTGTGATTTTGCGGATTATCAACCCTTTGCATGTTATTTAAAGCCAGAAAATACCTTTAGATTATGAGATTTTTTTGAAGATATTAATGATTTACTAACGCAAGTTTTACTAATTAACCCATAGCTGGGGGGGAAGAGGTGGATCCATACTTTTCCCAATATTCCCAAGAGAATATAATCGTTCTTGACTGGAACTACAACTCAGTTCTCCGATTTGCAATTGCAATCCATTATCTTTACACAACCTGTGCATCCAAGACTAAAGCCAAACTGGTATTCTCAAGCGGTCAGCCATCTAGATAATGACCAGGCCCGACGTTGCTTAACTTCGGTGATCGTATGAGAAACTATAAAACCTTCCACGTGATATAGTCGTAAGCCTTCCGATAATGAAAGAAATGCTTACGACACAGTGGATATTTCAATAGTAAATGGTGTTTCTAGTGCTGGGATTTCTAAAGTAGGCCGTACCGCCTCACCCTAGGGGATGGTAAGGAAAACTGCGAACAGAGAACTGAGACCAAGGTCTCTTAAACTCAAACGATTACAGCTTGCCGGCCTCTGCCATCGGGAGGACAAGGAAACTATCTCATCATTACTCCTAAGGCACCACCCACTTTGTTATGGGATCTTACCCATATTAATAATAATAATAATGGACTATTCCATACTTAATAAATACTGCGCCTCAGGAGTAAGCAAGGAGTCAGTCGTTCAGTTCGACTGTCTGGAACTGACTGGCTCGCTGAAGGGCGGAGTCCCTTCGGTTCAGAACCCGTTTATACTTCTTCTAGTGGCCGGGAATGCCCACGTTAAAAAAGGCCTTTGGAGACACCCCTCGTGGGGTGAACCGTTCAAGAACCGACTGCATCGGAGGTTGTACTACGGGCGAGGAACCCGGAAGGAGACCGCCCGGCGGCGTCTCCTTCTGGGAGGTTAAACCGGCC